TTTTACACACACGTTACACTTTACAGTTTTACATACACCTTACACTTTTACACACACCTTACACTTCACAGTTTTACACACACCTTACACTTTACAGTTTAACACACACTTTACAGATGGCAGTTTTGCTCACACTTTACACTTTAAAGTTTTACACACACCTTACACTTTACAGTTTTACACACACCTTACACTTTTCAGTTTTACACACACCTTACACTTTAAAGTTTTACACACACCTTACACTTTACAGTTTTACACACACCTTACAGTTGACCTTTTACGCACACCTTACAGTTGACAGTTTTACGCACATTTTATAGTTTAGTTTTACGCACACCTTACTGCTAACAGTTATTTTCACGATTCTCCAAAAGAAATAAGTATATGCTGCAGTGTGTTACATTCACAAAGCATCTGATTGGAAGAATATGCTTACACGACACGATGAATGTCAGTTTTTGTGTTCAAACAAGCAGTGGGGTGGTCAGGTAGCCTAGTGGTTAAAGCGTTCGCACGTCCCACCGAGCACCCGGGTTCGATTCCCCACATGGGTACAATGTGTAAAGCCCATTTCTGGTGTCCCCCGACGTGATATTGCTGGAATTTTGCTAAAAGCGGCGTAAAATCAAACTCACTCACTCACTCACTCACTCACACTCAAACAAGGAGCAGATTATCAAAAGTTTCATAAATTCTATGGCATTTTAGATAATATGAAACAGTTATGGAAAATTTACCAATGTTGAAGCAGTGAAATGTTTTTACTGAGTGAAAAGATATTCAAGAGATATTCAAAATATAATTCAAGGCTGAAACAGTAGATTATATTAATCATATAGACACTGGTAGGTTTCAGAGCACAGGGTTTGGTTTCACACTTGAATATTTCGGTTGATTTCATTTGGGCCGTTTGTATTAGTGACGTACAAGTATACAATTTGCCAACTGATTGTTAATGGTATGATGAATTCAGAGATGTATGTATCGTAGCCTAGTGTAAGATGTATTTGATGTGACAGGCATATCGACAGACGCGAAAAGAATCGTGACTTTGTAACACTATCCAACATGGAGGATCGGTTCAGAGTTTTCACGACGTTTCAAAAACAAATACAGGATCACTGGAGACTATTCAGAATGATATTTGGACAAAGAGCAGACACCGGATACTTTAGAACTTTTCATGTAGCTATCCGTTATTCAAAAAAATACTTACAGTGAGAATGGGGAATTGGTAAAATGCAAAAATGGCGATATTTTCGCTGTACACTATTTTCAGACGTCGTTTATTGTACATATGCTTTGTCTAAAACAGCTGTTAATGGCATCACATCAAAGATACTTTCCAGCAGATTACAAAACTGTGATGTGTATTTGCGTGATGTATTTTAAGTTTTAGAAACGTATTATGGACCTAATCTCACCTAGCCTAGGTGTACAGTGTACAGTCGCAGGACCTGCCGTTTCAAATACCATTGTGGAAAGTATAACCTAGAGAATCAAACGGATGAAAATGTCAAAATTTATAATTTGTTACAGGGTTATTCTACGTTCTTACCTTTCATTGGTCCTATTTATTGACACTTAGGGCTACCGAAAAGCAGAAATTACCGACGTGGACAAGCTCCTCATATCGATACAGATATACTTCTGATGGTGAGATTTGTTTGTTTGTTTGTTTGTTGTTTAACGCTGCACTCAGCAATATTCCAGCTATATGACAGCGGTCTGTAAATAATCAAGTCTGGACCAGACAATCCAGTGACTGAGATCATGAACATCGATCCTCTCAATTGGGATACGATGACATGCATCAACCAATCAGCAAGCCGGACCACCCGATCCCGTAAGTCGCCTGTTACGGCAAGCATGGGCTGCTGAAGACCTATTCTACCCCGGATCTTCACTGGTTTTGATGGTGAGTAGTTTGTATTAAAGTTAACCACGGAGCGACCATTTCCCAAACCTCTACAACCTTCCGCTTCGAATTTTCCTGCCACATCAAGCTGGCACGCTGTGATATGACTGAAATACGGATGAAAGCAGCGTTAAAAAGCGAGGACAGACTTGAAACTATGAACTAAGTGGGGATTCAAAGATTACGCATCAAGTTCGAAACAACCCCCAAAAACTTGGTTATAGCCTTAACCGGAGAACCTCACATATGATGTTTCAACATGAAATTACACCAAGTTAAAGAGCAGATATCTGGTATGCCTCATCGAGCAACTCACATGGAATATATCTTTTGGGGAGAGAGGGCCGAATAGGTCTCCAGTACCCCATGCTTGTCTCTGTGGGGATTCAGGGCAAATAGGCCCCCAGTACCCCATGCTTGTCTCTGTGGGGATTCAGGGCCGAATAGGTCTCCAGTACCCCATGCTTGTCTCTGTGGGGATTCAGGACAGAATAGGCCCAAATACTAACTTGCTTGTCCCCTAAGGGATTCGTGGCAGAATAGGTCCCAACTACCCCATGCTTGTCTCTGTGGGGATTCAGGGCAGAATAGGTCCCCAGTACTCCTTGCTTGTCTCTGTGGGGATTCAGGGCAGAATAGGCGCCCAACACCATCACACGACTATGGGTCAACACGTAATCGGTCAAGGTCGGGTCAACCAAGAGTAACCACCCCCGCCAAAGATCGCTACATCCGACTGCGCCACCTACGTGAAAGGGCGACTACAGCCACCTCAACCGAATCCCAAATATCCGTACTGCGCAGAAACTCCGACCAGACCGTACGAAACCGTTTAAGAGCAGCTGGTCTTCGAGCAAGACGTCCTGTTCATATTGAGTCAACAACATCGTCAACATTGACTGCATCGGTGTCGTCAACACAGGGTATGGCCCCAGCTGCGATGGAGAGATGCCTGGTTCAGCGACGAATCACGATTTCTCCTCTGTCGAGGGTATGGAAGAGCACGGGTCTACAGACGTCGGGGAGAACGTTACGCCGGAAACTGCGTACAGGAAGTTGACAGTTTTGGTGGGGGTAGCGTTATGATGTGGGAGGCTATCTTTCATCATGGCAGGATAGGTTTGGTCCATATCAACCGCAATCTTACGGCTGAACGATACATCAACGAAATTCTCCTACCACCCGTCCTCCCAATTGCAGCCAACGGCAACGGTGTATTCCAGCAGGACAACGCTCGACCGCATACAGCACGGATCACAAGAGCCTGTCTACACAACAACGTTGATTTTCTCCCCTGGCCCTCCAGATCCCCGGATTTAAACCCGATAGAGCACCCGTGGGATGAATTGGATACACGGCCACGCCGACGTCAACCACAACCCCAGACGTTGCAGCAGTTGGCTTTTGCGTTGCAAGCCGAGTCGGATACCATTCCCCAGGATGTGATTCTCATACTCGTCTCTTCCAATGTGCGGGAGATGTCGATTCCAACGGGGGACATACGCGTTATTGGTGGTAGCTGAACTTCAACTTGGACTTTTCCTATGTACCGATAACTGAGATGACTACAATCACCAAGTGTTCTCTCCACAACATTTTTGGCTCAGTACCTTGTACGGTTCCTCGTATAAATGTATCTTTCTACCTTACACAAACTTGGCTTTGCGTTTCTATTTTTTAAGAGTATATATGATTGCCTGTGCTTGTATCAGAACATTGAGATGATTCACAACTGAATTAATCATTGGGAATAATATACAATCATTGTTATGTATGAGTCTGATGATATATGCTTACCCAGAGCCGTTTAGCATCCAGTGGTAAGGTGTGGTGAAATTTGGTTTAAAGTCGCGTCCAAGATTATTGCACTAATATAGCGACGTGCATGCACGTGTGTGTGGCTGCTTGAACTAGTCCGGACTGATGCCGATTTATAGTGCTAGCACACTGAGATACCACGCCGCAGTTCAACATGAATACCCCACTCAGACACAGTATACTGACTTCGAGCCGACCAGTCCTTGTTTTAGCCCCTTAATGCCGAGCGCCAGACAGGGTAACAACAAGTACGATCTTTTAACGTCTTTCGGTATGACGCGGCCGGAGATCGAACCCCGGACCTTCCGCTCTCCGGGCGGACGCTCTACCACTAGACCACGGAGGCGGTTTTCCAGTGGTAAGCGAAACGTGGCACCATCATAATAACGAATGTAACAAAGTAAATTACAAATTTCTGTAACGCAATCTTCAAAGATTACCCACATTTAAACGCCAAGTACCTTTATATCGTTGACCTATAAAGCTCCTGCTACATTGTAGTATGTATTTTATAACACCTTAGGGCATATCTATATATACCTTAAGTATCACTGAAAGCTAATGTAACGTATTTCTTCTTCAAAGCACGCAAATTGTCAAAAAGGCCACATCGTTTTGAATCCTGACACTTTATATCGTCACAGAAAGAATCATTCAGTGACATTAACGCCGCTCAAATGTTAAACAATCGTGCGCCACGTGACACGAGCATGATCGCCTATTCATATAGTTTAATATTTCCCTTTGAAATTTAACCCAAGACATATTGTGTTGTTGAAATTGGATAGATCTTTTCAACGATTTAAAGTAAAATCTTTTATTCTTTAGTATAACTGATACGGTTTTTGTGAGGATTTAGATTTAAGAGAAGAAATAAAGACTTCATGAAAATAACTAATAAACTTGTTTTTAAAGGTCGCGATCCTCTGTGTGAATCTTCGTAGATAAATAACGTGCGTTTATGTTTCACTCGCAGGCTACAGTAGGATGTTGTTCATGTACTGTACACCCTCGGGAAAAACGCCAGGAGTTAACATATTTCGTAAGGTTCTTGGACCCTGCGCTTAAAAGTCTTGAGCCCTGTCGTTTGTGTCTTGTGTCTTGTGCCAGTTGTTTTGTGTCTTGTACCAGTTGCATTGTGAATTGAGCTGATGTCTTGTGTTTTGAGCCTTGTGTCTTGAGCCCTGTATCTTGTGACTTGTACCCTATGCCTTTTGTATTGTGCCTTGCGTCTTGTGCCCTGTATCTTGTGACTTGTACCCTATGCCTTTTGTATTGTGCCTTGCGTCTTGTGCCCTGTATCTTGTGACTTGTACCCTATGCCTTGTGTATTGTGCCTTGTGTCTTGAGCCCTGTATCTTGTGACTTGTACCCTATGCCTTTTGTATTGTGCCTTGCGTCTTGTGCCCTGTGTCTTGAGCATTGTGTCCTGTCTTGAATCCTGTGCCTTGTGCCCAATGCCCTGTGATCTTTGTCTTGCCTCTTGAGCCCTGTATCTTGTGACTTGTACCCTATGCCTTTTGTATTGTGCCTTGCGTCTTGTGCCCTGTGTCTTGAGCATTGTGTCCTGTCTTGAGTCCTGTGCCTTGTGCCCAATGCCCTGTGATCTTTGTCTTGCCTCTTGAGCCCTGTATCTTGTGACTTGTACCCTATGCCTTTTGTATTGTGCCTTGCGTCTTGTGCCCTGTGTCTTGAGCATTGTGTCCTGTCTTGAGTCCTGTGCCTTGTGCCCAATGCCCTGTGATCTTTGTCTTGCCTCTTGAGCCCTGTATCTTGTGACTTGTACCCTATGCCTTTTGTATTGTGCCTTGCGTCTTGTGCCCTGTGTCTTGAGCATTGTGTCCTGTCTTGAGTCCTGTGCCTTGTGCCCAATGCCCTGTGATCTTTGTCTTCCCTCTTGAGCCCTGTATCTTGTGACTTGCCTTGAGCCCTGTACCTTGTGTCTTGCCTTGAGTCGTGTGCCGTGTGCCCAATGCCCTGTGATCTTTGTCTTGCCTCTTGAGCCCTGTATCTTGTGTCTTGCCTTGAGCCCTGTACCTTGTGTCTTGCCTTGAGCCCTGTACCTTGTGTCCAATGCCCTGTACCTTGTGTCTTGCCTTGAGCCCTGTACCTTGTGTCTTGCCTTGAGCCCTGTACCTTGTGTCTTGCCTTGAGCCCTGTACCTTGTGTCTTGCCTTGAGCCCTGTACCTTGTGTCTTGCCTTGAGCCCTGTACCTTGTGTCTTGCCTTGAGTCGTGTGCCGTGTGCCGAATGCCCTGTGATCTTTGTCTTGCCTCTTGAGCCCTGTATCTTGTGTCTTGCCTTGAGCCCTGTACCTTGTGTCTTGCCTTGAGCCCTGTACCTTGTGTCCAATGCCCTGTACCTTGTGTCTTGCCTTGAGCCCTGTACCTTGTGTCTTGCCTTGAGCCCTGTACCTTGTGTCTTGCCTTGAGCCCTGTACCTTATGTCTTGCCTTGAGTCGTGTGCCGTGTGCCCAATGCCCTGTGATCTTTGTCTTGCCTCTTGAGCCCTGTATCTTGTGTCTTGCCTTGAGCCCTGTACCTTGTGTCTTGCCTTGAGCCCTGTACCTTGTGTCTTGCCTTGAGCCCTGTATCTTGTGTCTTGCCTTGAGCCCTGTACCTTGTGTCTTGCCTTGAGCCCTGTATCTTGTGTCTTGCCTTGAGCCCTGTACCTTGTGTCTTGCCTTGAGCCCTGTATCTTGTGTCTTGCCTTGAGTCCTGTGCCGTGTGCCCAATGCCCTGTGATCTTTGTCTTGCCTCTTGAGCCCTGTATCTTGTGTCTTGCCTTGAGTCGTGTGCCTTGTGCCCAATGCCCTGTGATCTTTGTCTTGCCTCTTGAGCCCTGTATCTTGTGTCTTGCCTTGAGTCGTGTGCCTTGTGCCCAATGCCCTGTGATCTTTGTCTTGCCTCTTGAGCCCTGTACCTTGTGTCTTGCCTCTTGAGCCCTGTATCTTGTGTCTTGCCTTGAGTCGTGTGCCGTGTGCCCAATGCCCTGTGATCTTTGTCTTGCCTCTTGAGCCCTGTACCTTGTGTCTTGCCTTGAGCCCTGTACCTTGTGTCCAATGCCCTGTGATCTTTGTCTTGCCTCTTGAGCCCTGTACCTTGTGTCTTGCCTTGAGTCGTGTACCTTGTGTCCAATGCCCTGTACCTTGTGTCTTGCCTTGAGCCCTGTACCTTGTGTCTTGCCTTGAGCCCTGTACCTTGTGTCTTGCCTTGAGCCCTGTACCTTGTGTCTTGCCTTGAGCCCTGTATCTTGTGTCTTGCCTTGAGCCCTGTACCTTGTGTCTTGCCTTGAGCCCTGTATCTTGTGTCTTGCCTTGAGCCCTGTACCTTGTGTCTTGCCTTGAGCCCTGTATCTTGTGTCTTGCCTTGAGCCCTGTATCTTGTGTCTTGCCTTGAGCCCTGTATCTTGTGTCTTGCCTTGAGTCGTGTGCCGTGTGCCCAATGCCCTGTGATCTTTGTCTTCCCTCTTGAGCCCTGTACCTTGTGTCTTGCCTTGAGCCCTGTACCTTGTGTCTTGCCTTGAGCCCTGTATCTTGTGTCTTGCCTTGAGCCCTGTACCTTGTGTCTTGCCTTGAGCCCTGTATCTTGTGTCTTGCCTTGAGCCCTGTACCTTGTGTCCAATGCCCTGTACCTTGTGTCTTGCCTTGAGCCCTGTACCTTGTGTCTTGCCTTGAGCCCTGTACCTTGTGTCTTGCCTTGAGCCCTGTATCTTGTGTCTTGCCTTGAGCCCTGTATCTTGTGTCTTGCCTTGAGCCCTGTATCTTGTGTCTTGCCTTGAGCCCTGTACCTTGTGTCTTGCCTTGAGCCCTGTATCTTGTGTCTTGCCTTGAGCCCTGTACCTTGTGTCTCGCCTTGAGCCCTGTACCTTGTGTCTTGCCTTGAGCCCTGTACCTTGTGTCTTGCCTTGAGCCCTGTATCTTGTGTCTTGCCTTGAGCCCTGTACCTTGTGTCCAATGCCCTGTACCTTGTGTCCAATGCCCTGTACCTTGTGTCTTGCCTTGAGCCCTGTATCTTGTGTCTTGCCTTGAGCCCTGTATCTTGTGTCCTGTCTTGAGTCCTGTGCCTTGTGCCCAATGCCCTGTGATCTTTGTCTTCCCTCTTGAGCCCTGTATCTTGTGTCTTGCCTTGAGCTCTATGTCTTGAGCCCTGTTTCTTGAGCCCTGTGTCTTGAACTCTGTGCTCCTTTATCTCGTGTCTACATATAAAATATAAAGGAAAAAACTAAATTCCATATGTTATAGAGATAACCGTAAGCTTCCTCTGGAACCCTCATTATTCAAATCAGTTGTGACCATGCCATAGATACTGTCTAGAGTTGGCAGTTGTTTTCACACAACATCTCTTTGTTTTCGCACAAATCGGTTGACAAAGTTGGGTTTGTTTGTTTGTTTGTTTGTTTGTTTGTTTAATGCCCCACCGAAATATTCCAGCTATATGACGGCGCTCTGTAAATAATTGAGTCTGGACCAGACAATCCACTGATTGATATCATGAGCATCAATCCACGCAATTGAGATACGATGACATGCATCAACCAAGTCACCGGATCCCGTCAGTCGCCTTTTACGACAAGCCTAGTAGCCATTTACGGCAAGCATGGGTTGCTGAAGACCTATTCTACCCCGGATCTTCACGGGTCCGTCAAGTTGGGATTTGGTTACTGGGCGATTTCGCGACTAACTTGGGCTAATAAGTACTCTCGCCTTTTTCACGAGCGTTACCTTCTTCTCTGATGCGATTTGGCATAGATACAGACAGGGCAATGGCAATACCAGCATTTGACGATGCTTGAGATTTGTTTGTACATTCTACCTTCATGTGATTTATGACATTACTATGGTGGCCTTCAATTACGTCCTCGAGAAAGCGATATAGCAGTAACACGAGACGAGAGGCGATAAAACGAGAAAGCGATAGAGCGAGAAATCGTTAGTGCGGGAAAGCGAGAAAGCGATAGTGCGATAAAGCGATATTGCAGAAAGCGATAGAGCGAGAAGTCGATAGTGCGGGAAAGCGATAAAGCGTCAGTGAAAGAAAGCGGTGTCTAGCCGGGAGAGCCACATTTCAGAAATGGCTATTGCCGGTAGAGCCACATTTTCAGCTGAGTGCATTTCACCTATTCTAGCGGGTAATTAATTAATCCGATTACCGATACCTTTATATGAGTGTCCCACATTTAAATCTTCACTACAGACAGGAACATTGAACATTTGTGTACTGCAGACATTGTATTTTGTGATGGTACATTTTATGCCTGTCCCAAGTTGTTTGATCAGATTTATTGTTTACATGCTGAGGTGTTTGGCCATATGTTTCCATTAGTTTATTGTTTGTTGTCCAATCGAACAAAAGAGTGTTATGTCAACATGTTTCAGTACCGAAAGCGATAGAGCGAGAAATCGTTAGTGCGATAGAGCGAGCAAGCGATAGAACGAGGCGATAAAGAGATAGAACGATACGATATTGATACTTATCCGCGGATCAGTTGCAATTTTAAGCGAAACTGTTTTTTTCCTGACATCACCGCCGTGATATTGCTGGACTATTGTCAAAAGCGACGTAAAACCATACTCACTCACAAAGATATGCAAGTACATATACACGTACAATTGTACAATTGTACAAGACAATACTATACAAGTTGATTATAAATCAAATGTCAAAAAAAATATTTACGAACATCAGTATTATAGCAGTCACACTGTAAGATCGTATACTTCTCAAAACAAGTTAAAGAACACCCACAATTCTAAGACCAAGTTTTGCAATACAATCAGCCATGAAATTAACTCATATGAAATAATCGGTTGTTAATTAACTTATTTTGAATAGTATACATTTTTATTTGAACTGGATATATTTAGAGAGTATTGCCGTGACCAGCCACATGCTGGCGGCGTGATGGTCCCATAAAACTCCCAAGTAGGGGAATATATCAATCATTTACTTTTTACGCGGAAATCCGTGGAATGTTTTCAAATCACCTAGGTATTATGTTTAAGTGAATAGTATTTCAACATTCCCTCAATGGGTATAATTTGAAATTTGACTGGAAAAAATCGCAGGTCTGCTCTATTAGTGAGTGAGTGAGTGAGGTTTTACGCCGCTTTTAGCATATTCCAGCAATATCACGGTGGGGGATACTACAAATGGACTTCACACATTGTACCCATGTCGGGAATCGAACGCTTTAACCACGAGGCTACCCGACCGCCCCTCTGCTCTACGAAAAAGAAAACCCACCTCACACCTCCAAAGTGAAGCAAAACAACAACTTCCCCCCGCCCCTCCACTCACACACGCACGCACGCACGCACACACACATGGATTTTTTTTTTAAAGAAGAACATCTTGCATCAGTATTCGTTTATGGTAGGTAATTTCTTTTTTTAACAGTCGGAATTTTATTATTTGGTTCAAGAATGTTTGTGGACGATTATTATTTTAGATGAAACCCCAAACAAGGACTGGTCGGAGTCAGTATTATGCGTCTGATAAGGGTATCCAAGTTAATTGCGTAATGGTATCTCAATGGGCTTGTGCCCTTAGCCAGGACAAGTCCATATGCAGCCACGCATACTTGCGCGCATGGATGCACGTCGCTATATCAGTGCAAGATATAACATATATAAGTCTATAAGTGTAGAGCCGTCGACCTGTAAATCGCAACAACCGGGAAACATCCCGAGGGGATCCGGGTTAGAATTGATCTCCAGCAACCCATGCTTGTCATACTCGTGGTGGTCAGGCTCGCTGACATGGTTGATGCATGTCATTGTATCCCATTTGCGTAGATCGATGCTCATTATGTCAATCACTGGATTGTCTGGTCCCGACTATTATTTACAGAGCTGGAATATTGACGAGTGCGACTTTAAACAACAAGCAAACAGACATGCGTTCCAACAATCTGACATTTCGAAAACACGAAGTGACTGGCAAGAGACATTTGAGACAGGCAACGCAAAATCTTAACTGTGCGTGGACAATTCCAGTTTGTATTCGGTAGACATGACTGTTTTCCTCCTATGTTTTATTAACTTTCTGGTGTGTTGTTTCGAAATTCAGTTCAAGAGATAGTATGTTTTGAATTGCTATCGATAAAAAGATGACTTTTCGCATAACCCTTGAGACAACAGAGCTTAGCAAGACTTGAACTCCGTTCAACTTCAAGCATATCAAATCACTCCGGAATCACCTTCCATAAAAATATATTCTACAAGCGCTGATGGAATATATTCCAACCTCTGTTTCTTTATTTGATGTAAGATTAAATCTTGGACATGATTAATAACTTGTTTTTAGGTGATATTTGATATTGAAAAAATATAATGACTTCTTAGAGACCAGTATTAATAGTTGCAATGTCGAATAAAAGTAGTTTTTAGTAAAACTTAATATCGTTTCTCAGATTCTTCAGGTATTTTACAGCGATTACCGGTAGTTAAATACTTATCAAGCTTTGCATGATTCACCCAGCGTGATTAACGAATGAAACAAAAAACATAAGCCGTTACTGTAATCCTAGGAGAACCATTTTTATCTGGAGAACTGCAATTTAGTGTGTACGCTTCATATACCAGCTGGCGACTGAAACGTATAGCCAATAAAACTGCGTGGTGTGTGTATGGTGAGGGAAAAAGTTAATGTTTTATAAAATCACACATAAGTCACACACTGACACACAATCACCTAAGTCACACAGAGACACGCCATCAGCCAAGTCACACACTGACACACAATCAACCATGTCACACAGAGACACGCCATCAGCCAAGTCACACATTGACACACAATCACCCAAGTCACACAGAGACACGCCATCAGCCAAGTCACACACTGACACACAATCACCCAAGTCACACAGAGACACGCCATCAGCCAAGTCACACACTGACACACAATCACCTAAGTCACACAGAGACACGCCATCAGCCAAGTCACACACTGACACACAATCAACCAAGTCACACACTGACACACAATGATCCAAGTCACACAGAGACACGCCATCAACCAAGTCACACACTGACACACAATGATCCAAGTCACACAGAGACACGCCATCAACCAAGTCACACACTGACACGCAATCATCTCAGTCACACAGAGACACGCCATCAGCCAAGTCACACACTGACACGCAACCATCTCGGTCACACACTGACACACAAACAACCAAGTCACACAGAGACACACGATCAACCAAGTCACTCAACTCACGAATGTTTAACGCCGCCTAACAGTACTGCAGTTGTAACACGTGCAAGCTTAATGTTGGAGGAAAGCCCGAAGTGATGCAAGTCAGTTATAGGTAGATTGGTTTGATGTGGTTTGAGTGAGTGAGTGAGTGGATTATGTTTCCACGTTTGTCAGCACCCTACCCGTGTTCGAGGATTTCGAGTATGGTTTTTACGCCGCTTTAAGCCATATTCCAGCACTATCACGGCGGGGGACACCAAAAATGAGTTTCACACATTGTACCCATATCTGGGATCGAACCCGGGATTTCGGCGTGACGAGCGAACGCTTGAACCGCTAGGCTACCCGACAGCCCCTTAAATCAAAGAGGTAAACGACTGAGACCTGCATCACTTCGGGTTTTCCTCCGACATTTAGCTCATTCTCCGAAAGCTGACACGCCATGATATAACTGGAATACTGTTCAAAGCGACGCTAATCCCAGCCCACTGATTCGCTAACTCAGTTTTTTTCAAAGGGAATTTAGTATTACTCCTAGTTACTATCATAGATATTTTAGATGCATTAAAAGAGTTTTAATCCATACATGAAATAAGTGCTTGAGAAATAATATCCGCGAAAAAGAAAGTATACACTTATAATTGGATTTGACCAAAACATTACACACGTTATGAAAACGTTACTTAGCTGAAAACAGTCGTGTAAAGACTGCAAGCTTAAGGTCCAAAACACAACTATAATAGCCGTTTCAAATACATCACCATGGAATAACCGTTTCTTGTTCGTTTCATTTTAAACCACCATCAAACATGGGTGTACACTTTCTTTTGCCCGTCAGCTGGAAAAAAAGTGTCAAGAAACATTTAGCAAAAATAGTTCGGATGCACGCACGCACGCACACTCATGCACACACGCATGCACACACATGCACAGACACACACGTGTGTTTTTGTATACCTGCAAACGGTGTGTTTTTGTACTGGTTACAACGTTCATATCAAATGTATATGAAACGAGTAATCAATGGCGCCCAGACAGTGAAAATAAAAAATGGCGTTTGATGCTCGCCGATGTCAGCTAGCGTCCATCCCGTGCCTATGTGGCACTGGGCTCTCAATCACGGAGTCCATGAGTCTTTGAAATCCGAGCCGATTCAAGGTAGCGACTTGAAATTGTCATGGCTAAGTAATCGCTGACGTTCATACCTCAATTAGATCGTAAATCATTTGCATTTCAAACGAAACAGATCGAAACAGTAAAGTCCTCTTTCACTCCGATATGCATACTTTCATGACTGCTCATGAAATTTATTCCGCCATTTTTGATGTCATTAAGATTTACACAACGAAAACATCCCTCGTGATGTATAGTGTATTCCAGACAACTAATGATTAGATCACGTGACTGTAGTGCCAATTCCCATTCGTTTAAAGATTAATCAGCCAATCAAAAAGGATATTTGATTAGAAGATTGCTGGCTTGATAACTTCAATAGGTTCCATGTAATCTAACTCATCTTCGTGTGTGACTCGTCCCGCTGAGGGGGATCAATCATTGACTCCCCACACGGTGCTATCTTTGAGTAACCATCACCAAATATTGACCGATCTTTGCCTCAAATTTAGAAATATTTATGTAAAGTTGAGAATTGTTATTTGTTGTATGGAAGTTAATTACCAATCGTAATGGACTTTGGTTCGTTGGAGTCCATCATAGGGCACTAAATGCCGGTTTGTGTGCGTGTCAACATTGAAAATCAGACATAAAATCATGGGCTATTGATCTGGTCGACACCGGCGGTGATGCTAGTGACCAGGCCTATCTCTTCCCGGCTCCCGTGGCCAGACTCCCCACTGTTTCAAAGCGCAATCATCACCTGGACTACCTTTAACTTCAAAGAGACCACCAGCGACATCAAAAGCAAGAATTACCCTCGCTGATTCATCTTGCACGATAAACTCCTCGTCAAATGTGTCTGTGACGTGAATGAATGCATTTGTCGCACGTGAGCTCGCGCGCCGTGCCGTAAATTAACGAAAATAGATATTGTGATCGGCAATGATGCTATGCTGAAACAAACGGTCGCATCAAAAGGAATAGATTAAATTGATAGGAAAACTTGTAATTTGGGACAATCTTCCCCTTACATTGGGTCCTGCGCCTGATCGTTGCTTGCTTTCTCCCTTTACAGCCACTACAAGGTAGATCCCAACATGAAAGTGGTGGCTTTCAGAAGAAGGTTTGGTCACTGGTCTATCACAGTCAATAAGTTGTGCGGGAAATGGTTTCTAATCGATCTCTGCCTGTATTACGGACTTTCTTTCCTGACCGTTGATTAAAGAGTACTGGGAACACACGCTTGTTTGAAGTTTATTTTGGCAGTATTATTCTGAAATTAGTGGTTAGGATGCCATTTCCTTTATTATCAAGCCTAATTCTCTAACTGAAATCAAACTCCGTTATGAGTTTCATCTTATTTGAAGATAATCTTTAAAGCTTTGGCAAAGATGAAACAAACGGCCGTTTCAATGTGACTATGGAAGAAGAAAGCATGCTTTAGATGGTGGCAGTTCTTATAGCGGAAGTGACGTCATAGCCAGGACCACCATAAACAAAACAGACTGCGATTGCACTTAATGAAGAAGAGTTCAACAGATACGGACAATGGGCATTAATATAAATCTGAACGTTCAATTCCACTTCTATAATTTCTACTTTAGGTTGTGTTGCGACTCATGAAGATGACCTTGGCTGGTCTGGTGGCCATGTTCGGTGTATGCCCAGACACAGTAAAGAGTGCCTAGTGTGACAATGACACATCGTCTCCTCGTCAGTTTGGAGTACTTCGTTGCAAAACTGTCTGGCAGAAGAGTAAAGTGTTGTTTAACTTGTTTCAAACTTGCCATGAAGGCCAATGGCCCGAACATCACATATGCAACTTCACTGCGTGTTTTTTAAACATACATTCCTAAATTGGAGTTTATTGTATTGGAGTCGGCTGTTGCTACAATTGTCCCAAAGGTGTTAAAGATGAACTTGGCCGTTTTTTATTCATTCGCATGTCATTGTAAACTCACTTATTGCTGTATCTCAGTATCTGTGATAAGAAATCAAGTAGTTGCACTCGGGGCCTACAATATAAGATGTGTGTTTGCGTGCGTGCGTGCGTGCGTGTATGTGTGTTTGAGTTGGGGGTGGGACAAGAGTATCATTTACCACTATTCTTTCATAGAACCCAGCCACCCCACCCCACCCCACCCCACCCCACGGTTAGAATGTGACATGGTCCGTCCCTAACACAGAGAAATTGTCCCGGTTCCCCACCTGGTTCTCACGGGCTGTTTCAGGAGATGACAAACGGTGCTGGGTCTTTAATTCAGATCTATTTTTAGTTCAAGTATCACCTTCAGGTCCGTATTGCAACGTTAAGAAACGTCCTTGCACAGATTAAATTATTATTGTTGTTGTTGTTGCTGCTGCTTGTCCAGCCACATACTCAGGGCGTTGTTTGTTTGTTTGTTGTTCAACGCCGCACTCAGCAATATTCCAGCTATATGAGGGCGGTCTGTAAAATAATCGAGTCTGGGCCAGTTAATCCAGTGATTGACATCATGAGCCCCAATCGATGACATGTATCAACAAAGTCAGCGAGCCTGACCACCCGATCCCGTTGGTCGCCTTTTACGACAAGCAGAGTCGCCTTTTATGGCAAGTATGGGTTGCTGAAGGCCTATTCTACCCCGGAATCTTCACGGGTCCTCAGGGTGTGCAATACGAGATTACAGATTGGTAAATTACAAACAGCTTACACGCGTTTCAAAATTGCGTTTGGAATGCCTGCTCCACTCTGCTCATTACCGTGGTACTGTGAAATTGGGTCCCCGTGTTCCTAAAGACGCCATGTTCACGAGAGGGGCGGTGGGGTAGCCTAATGGTTAAAGCGTTCGCTTGTCACGCCGGAGACCCGAGTTCGATTCCCAACATGGGTACAATGTGTGAAGCCCATTTGTGGTATCCCCTGCCGTGATTGCTAATATTGAAATATTGCTAAAAGCGGCATAAAACCATTCTCACTCATGTGCACATCACCTGGAGTGAGATACGCATTGATATGGTACATGGAATATCACCTATGATGCCTGGATCAACTACACCACCATCGAATACGTAACCATTTCGTGTTTGTTTCATCTTCAGCCTCCATCAAACATGGGTGTGTACTTTCTTTAGTCCGGCAGTGTATTTATTTGTACGCAAAAAACGCATTCCCTGTGTTGTCATGTTTTGTTGAACATACGGTTTGATAATTATATAGATCGGGTTGGGTTTTGATGTACATCATCCGTAATTACAGGCAGATGGCCAACATTACTTCACGAATAAAAATACTTCAATAAATAACTGTAACTAATTAATGAATAAACCAAGCTGTGTTTTGATTTAAATGCTAAACAGTCTCGAGTCTTCTGAAAATGACAGACAATTTCAATGAAGGAAATCAGACGTTTCCAAAAAAACCCTGAAACGTCAAGTTCTCCAGATTCCCTCGTAACGATGTAATGCGATCGCTGTATGCTATTCACTTATCCTTTGAATTCCAAGTAAGTTTCCCGAACATCAAAGAGATTATCACATCACAATACATAAATCATGGGCTTAAAGTTGACAGAGATAGAGAACGCTGGGTTCTTAAGTACATAAGTAAATTAGTATGTAGTCGTATGTATGTGTTGACCAGATCCTATATATAATGGACAGCCACAAAGAGCGGATAAACGTCTGGAGCAGTCGCTAGTCCATAAACCAGGATTATTGAAAATATTAATCCAGGTAATCAGATTCTTTGTGGGGATGATTTATAGTCGGCAACATCAAAGAACGAGAAATATAACAAATGTACCTCATTAGCTAGAGGATAAACAATGGCTGGACGTAAAACCCGCTGGTAGAAGCGGAGACGCAACATGGCGGCTGTCATGGTGGACTGTAGGGATCCCCCGGGTATCATTATTTGTATAAATGTTCATGCATGAAGATCATAAAGCTGCGGCAGACTGAATGTTAAACAACATGTATATGTCCCGAGTGTCTTAATGCAATCGGTGCACAGAATAACAATTATATATTGAGCAGAAAGTGTATTTTGTCGACTAGACCGACGCCATATACGAACCGAGAGGTCGATTATGGTCTGTAGTCATGAGCAGAGTTCTGTTGAGGAGGAATAATTGAATTTTATTACCATGGTAACTTGTAAAGGAAAACACAACATGCTGTCATGAAAAAAGTATAAACTTGGTTTATAGTTGGCAACCGCCTCCTTGGTCCAGTGGATAGAGCGTCTGCCCGGAGATCGGAAAGGTCGGCGGTTCGATCCCTTGGCCGCGTAATACTATTGAAAGACGGTATAATATGGTACTTGTTGTTACCCTTCGTAGCGCTCGACATTAAGGGGTTGGACAAGAACTGGTCATATACAGTGTCTGAGTAGGGTATCCATGTTAAACTTAGGCGTGGTATCTCAGTGGGCTGGCATTAAGCCCGGACTGGTAAAGCAGCGACACACACACCTACATGCACCTCGCTAGGTAAGGGCAATACTCTTGAACGTGACCTAGAACCCCATTTCACTTCACATATTCTGTGGCATGATATGTCCCTAGTATACCCTACTCAGACACAGTATAGGCAGGGAATCCGGGGTGATGAGTGAGCCTCACACGAAAGCTGGTCTTCATGTATTCTCAGCAGATGAAAAAATGTGATGAAATGTGTGAGAGATACGAGAGGCACGCTCTTGTCCCTTATATCTAGTCTAACAAGTTACTGGAAATTTCCACACGGTGCCATCACAACATCGAATATTCTACACGTTTCTATAACACTCTATCACAGTCCAAGGTATTCCGGATGTTTACCCATTACACTAGCATCTAAACATAGTAACTTCCTCAAAACTGCTTACATTAAATAGCACTACATTCCTGACAACTAATTATTGTCCAAATACAATGCAATGAGATTCTACCGAATCTCAACAGAAACAATGTCACACAGTTACAATAATTGTTTAACAATAAAATACACTGCCAGGTAACAATACCCCATGCTTGTATACCTGACGAAGATGGTGGTTGATGCAAAGTGTCACTTGGTCTCCTGTGTGTCATCACACCATGACGACATGGCATCAACTTTTGGCTTGACTTGTCCGGGATCGAATATTTAGAGATCGACCTCATATAGTTGTAAATAAATTTGCTTACTGCGGCGTAAAACAACAAATATAAAGCCAAAGTATATCAACAGCCTTCTCCTTCATGTCAGGTTGACATTGGGTCAGCTGACATGGATCTGGTTGTCTGTCGGCCTTCTATCTGGGGGTGTAATAGCCCATTCGTTGGTTTAAGTAGTAATTTGTCTTCACGTGTTCAATTTGATCTCCATGTCCTCTTGCTTCCAATTTGATCTCCATGCCCTCTTGCTTCCAATTCGATCTACATGCCCGCTTGCTTCCTGTTCGATCTGCATTCCCGCTTGCTTCCTGTTTAATCTGCATACCCGCTTGCTTCCAATTTGATCTCCATGTCCTCTTGCTTCCAATTTGATCTGCATGTCCTCTTGCTTCCAATTTGATCTGCATGCCCGCTTGCTTCCAATTTGATCTGCATGTCCTCTTGCTTCCAATTCGATCTCCATGCCCTCTCGCTTCCAATTTGATCTGCATATCCTCTAGCTTCCAATTTAATCTGCATACTCGCTTGCTTCCAATTCGATCTCCATGCCCGCTTGCTTCCAATTCGATCTGCATGCCTGCTTGTTTCCAATTTGATCTCCATGCCCTCTTGCTTCCAATTTGATCTCCATGCCCTCTTGCTTCCAATTTGATCTGCATGTCCTCTTGCTTCCAATTTGATCTGCATGTCCTCTTGCCTCCAATTTGATCTGCATGCCCGCTTGCTTCCGATTTGATCTGCATGCCCGCTTGCTTCCAATTTGATCTGCATGTCCTCTTGCTTCCAATTTTATCTCCATGCCCTCTTGCTTCCAATTTGATCTCCATGCCCTTTTGCTTCCAATTTGATCTGCATGTCCTCTTGCTTCCAATTTGATCTCCATGCCCTTTTGCTTCCAATTTGATCTGCATGCCTGCTTGTTTCCAATTTGATCTCCATGCCCTCTTGCTTCCAATTTGATCTACATGTCCTCTTGCTTCCAATTCGATCTCCATGCCCTCTTGCTTCCGATTTGATCTGCATGCCCGCTTGCTTCCAATTTGATCTGGATGCCGTCTTGCTTCCAATTTGATCTCCATGCCCCCTTGCTTCCAATTTGATCTGCATGCCCTCTTGCTTCCAATTTGATCTACATGCCCTCTTGCTTCCAATTTGATCTGCATGTCCTCTTGCTTCCAATTTGATCTGTATGCCGTCTTGCTTCCGATTTGATCTCCATGCCCGCTTGCTTCCAATTTGATCTGGATGCCGTCTTGCTTCCAATTTGATCTCCATGCCCTCTTGCTTCCAATTTGATCTCCATGCCCTCTTGCTTCCAATTCGATCTCCATGCCCTCTTGCTTCCAATTTGATCTACATGCCCTCTTGCTTCCAATTTGATCTGCATGTCCTCTTGCTTCCAATTTGATCTGTATGCCGTCTTGCTTCCGATTTGATCTCCATGCCCGCTTGCTTCCAATTTGATCTGGATGCCGTCTTGCTTCCAATTTGATCTCCATGCCCTCTTGCTTCCAATTTGATCTCCATGCCCTCTTGCTTCCAATTCGATCTCCATGCCCTCTTGCTTCCAATTCGATCTCCATGCCGGCTTGCTTCCAATTCGATCTACATGCCCTCTTGCTTCCAAATCGATCTGCATGCCCGCTTGCTTCCAATTTGATCTGCATGCCGGCTTGCTTCCAATTTGATCTACATGCCCGCTTGCTTCCCATTCGATCTACACGTATGCTTGATCAACATTCGATCGTCTTTCCTTTCTTTTGGATCTACATGCCTGCTTGTTTTCCGTTCTATCTACCCGCTTGCATGCTTGCTAATGTATGTCTGCTTGCTTTCCTTTTGTTCCATTTCCTGGCACGCTTGGTAATAATTATTTCTACAGATGCGTCTAATGTCTAATGACCACCTGCCAGTCCATTTATCAGTTTAATATGTCGAATGTTCTGTAAATGTAAGGTTCATTTTATAGGCCTTAATTAAGTATCATTCGTCATTCAATGAAATAAATGCATATACACACCATTCCATCTTCTGTGAGTCCCCTGCATGGAATTCGTTTACACGACCAGTGCAGCATGTCATTCCATGAGATTAAAGACCACTGGTAATGGCGCTGCCCTGTCAGCCTGTGATGGGCCGTCTCGAGAACAGGACCGGCGTGTCAACACTCCGAGGACTGTAACACGAACCAGCTGAAAGGCAAACATGGTCGCTATCACTGCTTGACGTTTTGTACATGAAGCGTGTCTCAGACCGTCTTGTTTTCTCTGATCTCAGAAGTTCAAACCTTAATAAACGATTGTGAAATAAAGACTTGCTGATCATGAAGAGCTTTTTGGTCCATCACGAAACCCTAGTGAAAAAGCCTCCCCTTTAAGTTGATCATTTATGTTTGAAAACTGACCTTTGGGAAATTTATTTCAAAACTAATCATCGAGTTCAAAGCCTTTGAAACTGTTTTCTTAGATCCGATCATAACATAGCCGACACGTGATACAAATTTAATTCACGGCGCGAAAACAAACAGAACACGGCGTTCGCCATTTGAAGACACGTAATCGGAAAAGTGATTACTTGAATACGGCTGTTTTCCCCACAGATACAGTTTGAGCAACGCACGGAAAGACGTGTGTTATTAAAACCGGGGCTTAAGTTTGCCTGGGTCGTGTCCCGCCGATGCTGGTCTTGAAGTCCTGGCGGCCATATTTGCTATGATACGAACACCTAATCACTACTGTTACATCGTCGCTTAGATAATTGTGGGCATATTTTTCATGTTCTTTGCGGACTAGTTATCAATTAACAGATTCAATATTACAGGCGAGGCCTAACTATGTGCTTTCCCTTCTCGGCACACAGAGACGGAAAGAGATCGTCTGCTCCTTTCATCAATAAACAACCACGTGGTACACTCGAGATGAAAGATAAACAGTGGCGCGTGCAGCGCACGTTCTCTCTTGTAGAAGGCACCCCCGTTTCACGATATCGTCACATACATTTTGGAGTATTGATCAGGACGGGACTTATTAATTAGCGGCGGTGGCAAATCACAACTTTGCAAAGCCCTTTGTAAATTTGGCGATTTCTCTTTGAACAAAAGCCGAGGACCGAAGATCAAAGGTTACGATTCCTTTCATGTTTCAGTGTCGTTGGTGCTTGGTTCTAGAAACGATGATGGCATGGACTAGCCCGCCCATCCTAGCCTTGCTTCCCGACACGGGCGTGCCCAGAAAGCAATGCATGTTTAAGTTCTTGGTATCAAAGACGTCAGTTTGGTATTAAGTTGTCTGTGGCTTGAAAAGTTCCCGTATGTCACGAAAAAACTTTCGATTGAATAATTCCGAATCTCTGGTGAAATACTTCAGAGGAAGGCTAAGTGTTTCCGAAATATTGAAACTGTCTTGTGTATTAGCGTACTTGAACGTGGGATTGTCTGTCTTAGATCTGTGGACAGAGCTGCCTAATTGATTGTAATTACCTGTTACCAGTGGTTTCTGTAGCAATTTCTTCCAATCTGAATGAAAACAACTTTCCGGTGCAGTCCGTACCTTCAGAGATTCCAAACTCTGTGATATTTAACAACACAAACGAATTTACAACATTCAAACAGATGTTTTCATTGTTTTTGTTGTTGGCTTTTTAGACTGGGAAAAGAATAGCGTTTCGGAAAATATCAGCTGGTTTCACCTCATACGTTGAATACAATAGAGAATTAACCTGATTTCATAGTCCATCTCCCGAAACTACCGATTCTGTCAAGTTCAAAGTAAGATAGTGAGTTACGGAATGATTGAGTGTTCTTTCACGACCCCGTCATGCAGCAATACGGCTTCCTCTAAATAAGGGGCTCTGGGCCAGACAAACAGAAACAGCAAGAATGAGCAACGATCCACGCAATGTGGGAACGATGACACTCTGATGACGATCAAAGGGCCTGATAATACTACTACTACTACTACTAATAATAATAATAGCAAACAGTAACTGCAAGAATGAGCAACGATCCACGCAATGGGGGAACGATGACACTCTGACGACGATCAAAGGGCCTAATAATATAAATAATAATATTAATAATGATGATGATGATGATGATGATGGTGATGATAATATAAATAGCAAACAGTAACTGCAAGAATGAGCAACGACCCACGCAATGGGGGAACGATGACACCCTGGTGACGATCAAAGGGCCTAATAATAATAATAATAATAATAATAATAATAATAATAATTATATTAATAATAATAATAATATTCCATTTGTATTGCGCTTTCCGATGCCGGATATCATGCTCAAAATCCATATAGGATATCTTATAGAAATGCTTGACGTAATAGGTATGTTTCGAAGTTCTGAGTGAGTGAGTGAGTATGATTTTACGCCGTTTGTATCAATATCCTAGAAATATCACGGCGGGGGACACCAGACATGGTCTTCACACAGTGTTCCCATGTGGGGAATTGAACCCGGGTCTTCGGCACAAGCGAACGCTTTAACAACTTGGCTACCCGACCGTCCCTAGAAAGGTTCCGAATGCAGAGTGGATGAACAGTTGCGGAACTCTCGTGGATAATAAATCCACTCAGAAGCTGCAGCATGGGGGAAAGATCTCTGTCCATAACCGGCCAGCTAAACCTTGAGCACAACAAACACTCGGTGTTCAGGATGGAACGTAGGGCGGAAATAAGTGATATTAACACGTGGCATACAAGTAACTGACTTCCGGTATATGCTAAAATAGACATTAAATAATAAATAAACGTTTATACTGTGAAAGCCGTTATCACGCCTTTCCGACCCTCACTATTCAGAAAGCGAATAATTATAATAGATAATCAAAGAGACAGTACTCGATAACAAGACAGGAAGTGAGCAGGGCTCACTTGTGAGAATCAGTTATGTGTATCACGGAAAGACAAACGTATCCCTATAAGAAAGGTGTAGTATGAAAGTGTGGCCATATTATATGCTGGAAAGTTCAACATTTATTTTCTAGTCTTTGAAATAAAAAAATGTCACAGAAATTCTGCCGACGCAGACGTCTGACCAGTACATCTGATTAGGTGAAACTAATGCATATTTACCTGCACAAAAAATCTAAATTTCTACTTTAATTATTTGAAACATTATTTAAATTGGTTATACTTATATCGGTGAAAAATCAGTGGAACAGTCCCCAGTCTTCTGGTCGGAGTGAGGGAACAGGTGGTCCAGTCGTTGCGCGCAGGATACCATGATCGTGGGTTCGAATCCCAGATCCCGAGACTTATCTTTGGTTTGACAGTGCCATAGATCTGCAGCGGATTTCCTGCCCTATTAACCTGACACGCCGTGATGTACACTTCCGGGTAAAAGAAAGTAATTTAATTCCACACCAATGTTTGATTGTGGCTAAAAAATAGAAAAAGAAATGGTTATTTGATGGTGGTGTATTTGATACGGGTCTCATAGTTGAGTTTTAGACCTGAAGTTTGCAGTATTTCGACGACTGTTTTCAGCTTTGGGAACATTTGTAATATTTCGGTCAAATCCAATTTGCAAGTGTATACGATCTTTTGCCTGGCAGTTTAAATAAAATATTATTCAAAGCGGCGTTTAACCGCTTAAACTCACTCACTCCTTACCCTTCAGTCCGGTCCTCTATTTCACGACTTCCGGTTCCGCTCTACCGATGCATTTGCGCGCCTTGGGGCATTAAGTACTCATAACATTTATTGCAGACATCTTACACGAGGGCTAAGTCAGTATGCAGTCAGCCGTCGTCAGTGGCCCCAGACAACGATGCAATCAATGGCCCACCACGGGATTGACCATTACAAGCGATACTGTCGCCGTATTTACCAGAGATCCCAATACAAAGAGTGCTAGAATGTTGGATTACACCGACGTAGTCGACTAACGTCGACAAACCATTGGTTGAGAGAGTGAGCGTCGAGGAATAATATCACACCAACAATCCTCATTAGTAGTGAGGGGGCATGGGTGGCCCAGTCGTCCAAGGCGCCGCGGTTCGCTGGGCAGAGTTGCGTCCCTTGGGCACGCCAGAAACCTATGGTTGTGGGTTCGAATCCCGGTTCGCCCCGATTATGTTTCTAGGTTTGTCAGCACCATACCCGTGCTCGTGGGTTTCACCGAAGTGGTAAACGTCTGAGACCTGCATCATTTCGGGCTTTCCTCCCACATTAAGCTGACACGCCGTGATATAACTTGAATACTGTTAAAAGCGGCGTTAAAACCAACTCACTCATTAGTAGTGAGTGGGTTGGACTTAAGGCCGCTTTGAACAGTATTTCAGTGATAAGCATCGGATACTTGAAAGCTATTTGGGCTCGGGATAACGAAGGAAGATTATTAACATCAGACATTTCAATCTTCAAACATGACACTTTCAATGTAGTGTTCATCAGTTCCAATTTGGAAGCAAGCCGATTCACCCTGCAAACATGTTTAACTATACTCGTCGGGTCGTCTGACATGGCAAATGACCGAAATTTAGGGAACCCCGAAATATTTATATCACAAATCAGGGACCGGGGGCATAATCTAAATTTCAGAAATTTGAAACAACTATTTAAACCTCAAACTTAACTGCTTAACCTTATGTTTGTTTCAACATACGTACGCTCAACGTAAATTTCAGTTCATATTTTAAACCTATTACTTAAGATTCCTGAAAATTGAACACATAAAATCATGTTCTTGATTGAAATGAGTTGGGTTTCATGTCGTATTACTACAATAACGAGGGAGGCGATATGTCTTGGGGCATATTTAGTCATTACATTAAACGGGATGAACTGCAATGGCTCGTCCCAGAAAACTTTGAGTCAGTATCATGCCGACACATTTTTTTATCATGTTTTATCAATCGCGCTAAATAACAAACTCAGCGTCTGTCGAATGCTTTTGGTGGACTTAAGGAGCCATTTCCTCAATATTGCTTCGTGGCACAGGGAATAATTATGTTTTCTTTTATATTCCAATTCCACCATCACATTGTAACAGAATGTACAGCTATGTCTGTTGGAATCAGAGGACATGGGTAGCATATTAACCTGTCGGGGAAAATAAAGTTGACACCCATGTTTGATGGTGGGTAAATATGACACATAAAAGAAAGAGTATTCGATGGTGATGTTTGTTTGTTTGTTTGTTTGTGTGCTTGATTGTTAAC